TGTTGGCGGAGGGGCGGTCGCGCAGCCGCATCCGCCGCCGCTGCCGGGACGCCGAGGGACCCCAGCCCGGGAAACGCCCAGCCCAGCCCGCAGCGTCTGTCCCTGGCCCGGCGTCTCTCTTCTGGGGCCGCAGGGGACGCGGGGCCGCACTGCAGCCTCCGGAGAGCGCCCGCCCGCGCCCCGCGCCCCCCGCGTGCTCCGCGCCTCGCGCCCCCATCTCCCGCGCCGGTCTCGAATTTCGGCCGATCCCAGGACGGCGGGGTGTCATCGTGGGGTCACCCGCGCTTCCGCAGGGAGTAAAGAGGTTTCGCGCGCGTGCGGGTCACGCACCTGTTTTCTTTGGCAAAGCGTCCACGTGCTCGGTCCGTTGTTTGTTTTGTGTTCGGAGGGTGGCCGCACAGGGGATTGTTGTCCATTTTTAAAAATTGCCGTTGTCCGCTCGTTGTTGACTCTCGAGGCCCCTCGGTGTGTTCTGGGCGCCGGGCCGCCGTCTGTCAGTCTGTGTCACCCGCAGGGATGTCTCCCAGTCTGCGGCTGCGTTTTCTTTCTCTTTACAGTGACCTTCGAAGAGCAGAAGCTTTTATTTTGATGAGGTCCAGTTTATCCATTTTTTCCTTTTTTTTTTTTTTTTTAAAAAGGTGACCGGTAAGGGGATCTTAACCCTTGACTTGGTGTTGTCAGCACTGCGCTCACCCAGTGAGCCAACCGGCCATCCCTATATGGGATCCGAACCCGTGGCCTTGGTGTTATCAGCACCGCACTCTACCGAGTGAGCCACGGGCCAGCCCCATTTTTTCCTTTTATGGGTGTGCTTTTAGTGTGTGTCACATCTGAGAAATCTTTGCCGAACGCAAGGTCACAAAGATTTTTTTTCTATGTTTCCTACTAGAAGTTTTATAATAATATTAGGGTTTTGTTGTTGTTGTTGTTGTTTTGTCCTTTTTTTTTTCTTTTGTCATTTTTGAGACTGGCTGCACCGCGCTCAGCCAGTGAGTGCACCGGTCATCCCTATATAGGATCTGAACCCGGGGCGGGAGCGCTGCTGCTCTCCCAGCGCCGCACTCTCCCGAGTGCGCCACGGGCTCGGCCCTATAATATTAGGTTTTACATTCAAGTCGAGGCGAGGTCTGGACCAGGGTGGTGTTTGGGTTTTTGGTTTTGTGCTTTTGGCTTTTTGTTTTCCGTTGTGGCTGACTGGCACAGGAACCGCACCCCAGACCTTGGTTACAGCACCAGCTCTAACCAACTTATCTAACCGCGGGATGGGATTTCTTTGTTGGGTTTTTTGCATATGCGCATCCAGTTGTTCCAGCACAATCTGTGAAAAGATGAACCTTTCTCCACTGAATTGCATAGGAGAGCGTTAGACTGAGAGACGTGGCCAGATGACATTTGAGGACAAGATTCTGGCACCAGGTAGAGAAAAGAGGGGTGGGGCCCATGCAGGGGTGCTGCAGGGGTCCAGGCCAGAGACCTGGGTGGACAGGGCCAGGGCAGCGTAAGGATGGGGAGAAGGGGCCAGTGGGAGAAATTCAGGTGGACCCTCCAAGTGTCTGTGACGCCTAAGGTAGCTGGTAGCCCAGGCATGGAGGAGGGACCACCGTGTGCAGGGTGATCCTTCCTCTCCCCTGGAAGCCAGGCACTGCCCCCTAGTGAGGGGCTCAGAGCTCCAGGAAAGGGCAGAGCAGGATGAGGGTGGGAGATGGAGCGCCAAGTAGCAGGCCCACAGTCAGCCTGCAGACAGGGTGCGCTTGTCCGGGGTCCCGCAGCTGTGAAGGGGTGGCCTGGCCCCCTCCTGCAGGAGGGCTGTCACCGGTGGTGGGGAGGAGCCGGGGCAGGGCAGGGGCAGAGCCCCCAGCCCTCAACGCCCTGGTGGTGGGCAGACCCCTGCGGCTCTAGGAACTCAGCTGGATGGTGCCAAAGCCTGCACCTTCCATCCGTTGAGTTGGGGAGAATGCGGCCAAGAAAGATCTGGCGGAGGTTCTCTCAGGGAAGGCTCCCTGGAGGTGGCGGCACAGGAGGATGGGAGGTCCACGTGTCAGGATATGGGGAAGGGGAAGGGGAAGGGGTGGGGTAAATAGAGGCCTGAAGTTGGGCCGTGTGCCAACGCCACTTGTCCCCAGGAGCCACTGAGAGGTAAGGTGGGCCAGCCAGAGACACTTAGGTGCCACCTGCCCACCCAGAGACTGCTTCACCCCCACTGTGGCCCAGTACCCATGGTCAGTCCAGGGGACACTGCCAGCTGCCCGGGGCCAGGCCCTGGAATCTTACCCCTTTCCCCCGCCCCCACCCTGAAGGCCACAGCAGTTGTCAACAGCTGTGGGCAGGGCCTGGCTAGCCCTGTGGGGACAGGGAGGAAGCACTGCATCCCCCAAGGCATTCCCCAGGCAGAGCCGCCACCCCCATTCATGGGACAGGGGAGACTGTGGCTTCAGGCAATGACCTAGCGGGGCCCACTCCAGAGGCTGGACCGTGGGCTCTGGAGAGAGGTGTTTCTTCTCGCTCTGGAGGAGTAGCTCACCTTGGGGGAGAACCCCAACCCAGCAGGATGTGCTGGGGGCCCAGAGGCCACCTGTGACCTCTGTGACTGAGGGCTCCCGCCTGGGCCAGCCCATGGTGTGGCCAGCAGGCGACAGAGCCCTTGTTTGCCTCCTCCATCTCCACACTCGGCTCTGCCCCAGGGAAGGGGCCTCTCGTCCTGATGGGAGATGCCGAGGGGACAGCCCGACAGTCAGCGAGAAGAACGTTAACAAGTCTCATCAAGAGGGGCGCTGCCCAGGGCCACTAGACAGGCCTTCAGTTCTGTCACCGAGCTGAGCACTGTGCCCACTCTAGGCTCCGTGTAGCTGGACTGAGGTTGAACACCAGTAGCAGCTCAGTGGACGTCATGCGACTCCAGCTGAGTGAACCCAAGTGAACAGCCCAGCCATTTAGGGGCCCCGGTGAACTGAGGACCCTGTAGGGCCATGCGCGTCACTTCAGGAGGTGGAGTGGGGTATATGGTTTCCCCCAAAGCGAGAGCCGCCGGGCTTCCTGTGAAGCCAAGATGTCTCTGGGGCCAACACACTGTTCTTAATACAAAGGTTATATGTTGTATGTTATTTAGTTCTGAATATAAAGTTTCGCGTTTGAGAAGGGAAGCTCTGGGGCCCCTCCTACCGTGTCAGTCATTAAGTCTGAGTTGAAACCCCCCATGGGAATACCGGGGAGAGGCGCAGGCGCCGCGGGGCGGGCGATGGGCTTTCACGAGACCAGTTGTGAGCTAATGTGCGTTTTGAGAAAAGGGGGTGCACCTGGTAGCCGCGTCAGGGAACCAATGAATCCAAAACCCCACAGGGTGCGTCTAGGTGGAGGCTACTTCCCTTTGCCAAAGTTTCCAAACAAAAGCATCAGTCGCAGACTCATTCAAAGGGGTCACTAGGGTCACAGTGGCCCCAGTGCAGTAGGCAGCTGCCAGCGCAGCCTGTTGGCTCGGGCCCTGCTCTAAGGATGCTGATCTGTGGGTTAGCTCATTTAAGGGACCAAATACAATGCCCAAGAGAGGCACATACTGTCTCCTATACCCAAAGAGTCCAATAAAGTGCTGGGTCTTCTTTTTCGGGTGGGAAGGGGTAGCAGAGACGGTGTTTTTTCTTGAATACCTGAGGTGCTGAGTGTTGCGGATCCACCTACATCATCCCAAGAAACTTGGTGCACAGGACACTGGGTTCTGTTGGGGTTTGTGATCTACCTCTTCTGGCAGGGAGGTGTGAGAGCTGTCTACTTGTTGAGACCGAGGCTTCTGACCTGCCATGCCGCAGGACATCGTCCGCATGATGACATCTGTGGACATCAGAGGGTCCTGACCTGCCCCCTGGCGGCCAATGGTGGGGACGTATGTGCCCCCTGGGGAAACAGTCCTAAGTATACGGGACACCTTTTTGTGCCAATAGTATTAGTCCATTTCTGTTGCTTATAACAAAATACCTGGGATTGAGTGACTTACAAGAAAACAAAATTTATTGCTTATGGTTTCAGAGGCTGGAAAGTCCAAAGTCCAGGGAGCACATCTGGTGAGGGTCTCTTGGCGGTGGCTTTACAGCAGTGCGTTCCTTCACATGGCAGAGAACGGTGGAGCAGAGAGAGAGAGAACTTCTCTCACGTGCTCTTCTTTGAAAGCCCTCAGAACGGGTCTCTTGGCGGTGGCTTTACAGCAACGCGTTCCTTCACATGGCAGAAAACGGTGGAGCAGAGAGAGAGAGAACTTCTCTCACGTGCTCTTCTTTGAAAGCCCTCAGAACCACGCCCAGACCACCATTATTAATCCCTTCACTAGGCAGGTCCTCAGAACCTCTTCAAGGCCCCACCTTTCAATTACCAGAATAGGATTTCCCACCCTGTTCACAGTGTCACGGTGGGGACTAAGCTTCTAATATATGGACTTTGGGGACACAATTCAATCAGTCCACAGCACCAGTGCAGGCTGGTCTCACTCCTCTAGTACCAGCAGAATGGTGAAGAAGACACTAGCAGTGTCCAAGACAGTACACAAAGTGCCATCGGCCCCTGTGACAGGCTGGTTGACAGTCACAGTGTCTGGGACAGCTCGGGCTATGGCAGCAACGACTGACTGACTTTAGTTGGTGAT